TGTCATTTGCGCAAATACAACAAGAGTACGGTGACTTTAGTGGCACACTGTATATGTATTTATTTTATCGATAGAATATTCCAGATAGGAATCGGCGTATTTTAAAAATTTGCCATCTATTGTCATCAACTTGTGCCCACAAAGTCCTTCGATACCTATCGATAATAAGGAAAGACGTTGAGGAGATACATATCAAAGCAACAATATTTATAGATAAACAGATCAATAGACGGGCAAGGAGAGCAGCTGACAAACATATGCAAACTAAAAGCTCATCGAATATCGCATAAACAATCGATAGTGCTGTCACCTCGATATACAGCTGTCGGCACGAATCAGTGTTGAGCAACGCCGACAAAAACTTGCATCGAGAGTGAGACATTCGGCATTTACCAACACGACTCCATGTCAAGTCGATTTCGTTGAGAATCTAAGCAAGTTTGGAAAATAGTGTCGATTGGGACGTACTTCAATAACTTCGACTGTGAAAGCCTCGTTTTTTAGAAAACTGGCGAAGTGACAAGTTGTCTACGGAAACGTAAAAAAAAAAAAATTACTTTTGATTTTCTAACGGCGTTGTTAGCGTTAACAGTTGAGCAAATTAAAAAGCTTGATCTAGTACCATGGATGACAGCAGCGAACTCTCCACCTACACCGATTCGGAGATGGAGAGGCCCTTTTTGACTCGCGAGATCACCAAAGCCTTGAGGGTGGAGCTGCAGCGTCGCCTCCAGGAGTGCGGCTGGCGCGACAAAGTCCGCAAGATGATACGCGAAGTACTCGACGATCGCGGCGTGAACAGAGTCAGCTACGAGGACATCGCCGCTGAGGTAATGCCGAGGGCACGTATGATGGTGCCCAGTCGCGTACTCCGCGAGATGCACGTAACCATGCGCGCCCTCATTGAACCCAAGGACAAATAGAGAGCGCTGAACAAATATGAAACAATCAACTACAAAATTTTCGGTTTTTACTATGAAGACACTTAAAGCGTTGCTGCGTTGTTTGCTCAATCACAACTCCTGTCAAAGATTCGCCTCAAAATAAAGGAACTCTCTCTGAAATAAACTCAGTCTGTTTCAGTCTCTTCTCGAAATCACTTCAATTGATTGTATACGAATTTTTTCAGAATTTATTATTATTTTTGTATCCACTTTTTTTTTGTAACTTTTCGAAATGGTAGAGCCCAGCAGCAGCCGTAAGGATTCAGTGCGTGAGCGCGATATGGAAGAGCCGGTAACCACCCGCTTGAAGCGAGATCCTAACCATTACCTGAAGCAAATGGTGTCGAAGCGTCTGCGTGACTGCGGCTTCTACGATGAGGTGTTAATCATGGCGCGCGACGCCGTGGAAGAGCTGGGCATGAAGCCCTCCTCCTACAGAGAGATGTGCAAGGCTCTAATACCCAAGGCCAGGCTCCTGGTGCCCCCGGGCGTGCGCAAGGAACTCGAGGCAAATGTGCGCGCTGCCCTCAAAGCCAAGCGCTGATCGCTGACTACCCACTGAAGCAATTGAATGCCCACCGAGCACCGTCCCCGACGAGGTGCCCGTGGCGAATGTTATTGAAATTATCTAAATAAAATGGCTATTGGTTGATTGAATGTAATTATTTGAATTGAATTTTGAGGGTGATACTCGCTGACAGTGTGCAAAAGGGCTGTATTAGTGTTGTGTAACAAGGAGAGAAAGGCATGCAGAGTGTTAAGTATTGGTTGACATTACTATGTAAGCTGTTATTGAAAAGCAAATGTATTTCAGCAACTGTTAAGCAGAGCGAAGACATATTTCAGCGACTGTTAAAGCGGGAGAGGTTCACAGGGGCAGCTCATGCATTGCCCTCCATTGTGAGCGAGCATTCCCCAGTCGAGTACGGTCAATGGCCCAGCCAAGTGCAGTCGAGTCCGCTGTTCCGGCAGTTCGATGGGCAAACAGTGCATGTGGTGCGGCTTAGAGCAGCGATGGAAATTTGTTATTGCGGGAATTTGTTGCATTGTTCTATCAGTGAGTTGGCCAGCAAATATTCCAGTTACGGCGCACATCGCAATCGCATAGACACCAATTCATGAATATTTATGCCTAAAATCAAATTGAGGCAACCGCCAAACGGGGACAAGGGAAAGAGTAGAGGGGGTGAGAGGCATGGGAGGCAGCTGACTGGCGAATGGTGAGTGGTGACTGGTGAGTGGTAACTGGAGAGCGGATCAGGGTTCGGGATTTTGGTCCACGTCAGTGGAAGCCCGAAATTAGCATGCATATTGAAGGGGCGGTCAGCGCTTGGCACCTGGCGCCAGAATCTGAATGTGAATGCGGCTTTAAATGCGAATGTGGTAGTTCGGGCTGTGGCTATGTGAGTCAGTCTGTGGGGAATGGGGAGTGAGTGAGTGAGTGAGTGAGTGGGGCAGTGTGGGTGCGGCAGAGCAACCGAAAAATGCTCTTGTGCAAGGGTGAAGATAAAACCGGGTTGACAAAAGAAAAACACAAAATAAAGAAAGAAAACACCGCTCGGAATTCATATAATAACATACACGTGTATGCGGGCCTGCATGTGGGCGACGGCGGCGTGGGCGTGCCACAAATTCATAAAACTGAAAGAAAACACGGGAAAAATATGCAAAAAAAAAAAAAAGGAGAGCGAGAGAAAAAAAATACTTGAAGCAAACAGGAATTATTTCCAAGCAGGCTCAAGCCAAAAAATTCGGAGGATTTTTGATGCGGTTGGGCCTGAGCAGGGGCAAGTGGAAAGGGGCAGCTGCTGAGTTGCCCAAAAGCATTCATGCAAAATGAATTGAAACGTGCCACAAAACTTGTTTTATGCATAACTAAGAGCAATCCGAATTCCGCTGCAGAATGCGGCTGTGGCATGGCGCATGAGTTGCAGCTTATGCAAATGGACCAGGACGTTGGCCAGCAGCAGGGCTGAGCGTCAATAACAATAGCCGGATTAAGCTAGCAAACTACTCGTACTTGTACTTGTGCTTGTACTTGCTTACGGCCATCATATCATTTATCTGTAGCAGCTGCTGCCATAAATTTACGAAGCAACTTGGCCAAAGTATATGCTATCTATTGCCAAGCACTAGTGGCCCATCAATCTCGCCATTATGCCGGACGGAGCGAGAGTTTCGCATTTCTGCTGACACCGCAATCAGCGTGGCTCGGCCTCTCCCCTCGCTGCTCGCTGTTCGATGTTCGATGTTCATCAATCTAATTGCCGTTCGTTTGCATCTAAGCATAAAGCAGCCCAAAAAATTTGCTTGCCAGTCAGCATTGAGCGATGCTCAATTGTGTGTGGGCCAGGCACTGAGATGGTGGGGCATCCAGGGCTACTTGCAGCAGTTGCTTCCATAAAACGGCTGCACTTTATTTGTCGTTCCACTTACCGCAGTTGACTTTGATTTGTGCGCCGAGTCAGGCAAACAGACGCCACCCAACCACCCAGGAGCCACCCATCGACCCAGCCACCTTTGTGCCTTTGCCCTTGTCCCTTGGCCCGAGTGAGTGCAGAAAATGCAATCAAATAAACAAATTGCCAGTCGTCAGAATCAGCAGACTCACATTCACGTTTACGTTCCCATCAGCCATCAGCTACAGCAACAGCGTAGGGCAGATAGACAGACGGACAGAGAGACAGACGGACAGATAGACAGAGAGCGAACAGTGAGTGGCAGCAGCAGCAGGAGTCGCAGCAGCAGTTAGCCGAGTCGCCCCAGGCATTAACACAAAGCGAGTCATGTTTAATTTGTTGCCACGCGGTGTATGCGTAATAAACATTTGTTAAGGCCATGCCGCATTGTACTTCTGGCCAAAATAGCCAGCTGGGGGCCAGCATTCAGCTATCACAGCGCACACCCAAAATAAAAAGAGCAAACGGGAAAAACTCTCAAGTGTGCTAAGTGTACATGTATATATAATGTACACATTTATATACATATATACATGTACGTATGTACATGTTTGCTTGCATGTATTTATGTATTTCCATTAAGAGCTAATAGAATTTATTGCAATTTCACTCGCCGGTTAATTGAAAAGCATAATTGCCTTTTTGCCAGCTAATTAAAATTAATAAGTCGGCGCTGCCAAATGCAATTATTCGGCATTTGTCACGGCCATTGGACTAAGCCATCAGATTTATCAAAAAAAAAATAATAACAAATGAATATTTCACCTCAACTGCCTTGCCAAATGCCAATTTGCGAGCTCTATTTGTGGCTGTTGAATAAATTATATTCTCAATAAACTGAAAATTATGATTTGAGCTATGATAGTTCTGTGGAAAATATCTGCAGCAGGTAGCAGGAGGCGTGGCAGCACACACAAGACACATTCCTGCTGAGTCGATCTAGCCTCGCATCAACTGGCTTGGAATTATAAATGCATATTTTAAAATATCATAAGAAGCATGAGAAGCAGGAGTGGCAGCACACTTGAGTGTGTTCCTGCTTGAGCAGGACTATGAGCTGAGTGGATCAAGTCATGTATATCATGTCTATTGCCTTGTCCCTTCCAAGTAAGTAATAGAGCAACAGTCTTGAAATTTATTAATATTTCTTTTTCTATCGATAACACGTTTTATAACCTTACTTATCGATAACAAATATATTTTTAAATTTTTTTAAGCAACGTAATGCCACAAAAGCAAGAGATTTCATTGATTAATACAAAGAGTTTGTATACATATGTATATTGGCTTTTGCATACCCATCCAAGTTTTTAATATAATAGAAATTAGGGCTAGAATAGTAAGGAATGTCCATCTAAGATAAGCTTTTCAGCTCCTAGTCGAGCATCGACTAGAGCATTATGCTCTCAAAATGAAAAAAAAAAAAAATATTATATATACCTATACTTATATAAGAAATATTGTATAAGGTATTCCATTTAGTCAAATTATGTACTTCAGAAATCTGTGATTAAAATCAGCTGTGGAACTATTTCTGGTTGATTTTTTAATATTTTGAAATATTGTTAAAAAAAAAAATAATAATTGAATTTAGGGCACCTGCTATTAAGTGAAATAAACACTTTCGGTTCAGGACACTCATCCCAATGGGGTCCATTAAATTGTATTATCATCTGGGTCCACTTACCTGGCAACAAGATTAGGAGTCCCAGGAGACAGGCGCTGGCCAGGAGACGGACGATTGCACGACTCATTCTCGCAGCGGGCGCAGTGGGACGCATCCGGTTAGCTGAGTGTATTGATTTGGGAATCTGGCTGGAACCTCGGTCGCTAGCTCTCTCTGCAGTTAGATGGCAATCGGGGCTAGCATGCATTTACTTGAATAGCCCGATCGATGGGCAGGTCATCTGTCGCTATCGAGCAGGGTCTACAATGGCGCAATCACTCAACCGTGAGGCGAACTCCAATACGAAACGGGGCAACTGTCGCCACCTGTGGCATGCGCCCAACTGGCTCTGGCTCTGGCTGTGGCTGTGGCAGACGTCTTTTAGTCAGACATATGGCGCATCGATCAGGCGGTCAACTGAATCAGTAACCAGCTAAACGGGCTGTCCCGAGACCCGTATGCCGACTCGTACGCGGAAGTTGAGACGTAGGCGTTGCCGTTGCCGAAATGGGCTGATGTACGGCAGGGAAAACAATTTTCTACGGCAATTGTTTTTTTATTTTCTTTCGATTTGATTTTATTTTTTATTTATTTACTTTTTTGTTGCTTGCTTCGCTTCTTTTATTTTATTTTTCGGCTTTCTTGTGTTTTTTGTTTTGTTTGTTGCCTTTCGCTTTCGTTTTTTATACTCTTTGCTCGCCTGTTGTTATCAAAGTGGAGGCTGACGCTTGCTAATGCCACTTCTGTTCGTGATGGGACGGCTGTTGTTATTGTTGTTGCTGTTTGTTCTTTTTGTTGTCGTTGTTGTTGTTTGTTGTTGTTGTTATTATTGTTTTATTGTTGTGGTTGTTGTTGTTGCT